TGATAAAGAAGGAAATATTAATAGAAACAAAGCGAGACTAGTAATAAAAGGTTACTCTCAACAAGAATGTATTGATTATGAGGAAACCTTTTCCCCTTTCACACGAATCGAGGCGATAAGAATTTTTCTTTCTTATGCAGCTCACAAGGATTTCGACGTCTACCAAATGGATGTCAAATACAGATTCCTCAATGGTATTCTAGAAGAAATGGTGTACATCTAACAACCACTAGGCTTCACTAATAAGTATCTTGATCGCTGTTATATTTTAGAAAAGACAATCTATAGGTTGAAACAAGCACCTCATGGCTGGTATGAAACTCTAATTTTTTTTTTTGAAAATTGCTAAACTTAAACAAGGATCAGTTAATCCTACTTTATTTCAAAAGAAATTAGGGGATCATCTTGTGCTCATTCAGATTTACGTCGATGATATTTCCTTCGATCCATCCTTCATTGTCCAAGGAATTAATGAAGAGCCAATTTGAAATGAGTATGATGGGTAAAATCAATAACTTTTTGGGTTTGAATTTTCGTCAAAGCAGGGAAGGAATCTCTATCAATAAAGATAAATATATTCAAAACTTTCTTGAAAGGTTTGGCATGACGAATAACACGAAAGTCAAAGTATATATGGACATAGGCACGCGCTTAAATCCTTTGTATCTAATTGCAATTCAAGCTGATATTATGTTTTTTGTATGTAACTATGCCAGGTACCATCGAACCCAAGAAAACCCCATCTTTCTAAAGTAAAGAACATCTTTCGATACCTTAAAAGTACTTCTGGTACCCTTCAAAGATCGGATTTTTTATCCAAGCGTTTTCTGATGCGGACTTGGGTGGATGTAAATTGGATTGAAAGAGCATTATAGGAGGGTTTTAATTATTCGACGGGAAGCTTGTGTGTTGGAAATCGAAAAAGCAAACTTGTGTTTCTATTTCGACTACTGAGGCAGAATATATTGTTGCTGCAGCGTGCACATCAATAATGATTTGGATTCAAATCCAATTAAGTGATTATGAAATCAACATGAAGAAAATACCTCTATATTGTGATTCTTAAAGTGCAATTCGCATTTTTCATAATCTGGTCCAACCTCAAAAACAAATTACATTGCTATTCGTTATCATTTTATCAAAGACCATGTTGAAGATGACAACATTGAAGTCCACTTTGTCAAAACAACATATCAACTTGCTGACATTTTCACAAAAACTTTAGATGAAAAATCATTATTAAGGATTTTGAATGATGGAAGCATCTTCTGTTCAACACTATTCTTGACTATGACTTGAACATATGTTCTGCCTTATGTTCGATTGTTTTTCTTACTTTCGATTAGTGGGTATAATTTCATGTGTTTAATTCACTTTCTATTGTTTTTGTTCTATTGAAAGGTTACTGTTCATGTTCATTCGAATGGCTTTGCATTCGACTTCCTCCTGGATCGTTCAGTACAGGATTGTAATTTGCGTCCGATGAAAGACTTTAGACGTACAACTTCCTCTTGACGACTGCTAGATTTTGGGTCAAAAGCATCTAGGTAACAATTTGAAGTTTGTTTGTTTTTGTTATTATTTCATTTTCTAAAATCAAAAATACAAAAATATTTTCCTAATTTTTGTTTGTACTTTTTCCAAAATCAAAAGTTTAAAAGGATTTTTTTTTGAAAAATGAAAAAATACAAAAATATTGTCACTGGAATCTCATTGTAACAATATGATGCTCTTTCGCATGCCACATGAGAATATTCAAAAAGGGAACAGGTACTATTCAAAACTATGTACTTGTTAACTGTCCCTAGAAATATGTTGCAACATGTTGTCCTCAAAGCATCAAAGACTCTTTGTGTTCGAAGTCTTAATGAAACTTATCACACGAAAGTTTCTTCCCAATCAGGCTGTATTCACATTAGTTGACGAACTACCTCACTCTTTTCATGATGAGCTAAGAGTTTTCTGCTTAGTAAATTTTTTTAACAGAGGTACAATGAGTTCCTTCATTAAAACTTTTTCACCTAAAATTTATTTCACGATCACCCACTACACTACATATCCTCGACATCTCGGGTAAAAACCTACTAGAATGTAGATATGTCAAACATCTATGTTTATGATCCTGAGTCATTTTTCCATGATGATGGTGAAACCCAAAAATATTAAACATCAATGAATTGATGGATAACAACTTTGTTCAAGATTTTAACAAAACATTTGTCTCTTTGTACCATTTCGATATTCAAAATCTCATTCCATTTCTATTGCATGATCTTGATAAAATGTTCTTATCCTAAGACATTTTTGCCTAAAAAAGATCCAGTCTTTCATTTTTTTGGAATGAGATTTTTGTTTGAATATCTTCTCTAAACTTTTGTCACTTATAATCATCACTAACTATACTTGTTCTTGACTACACTAGTTATCCAAGTAATTTTGCACTATTGAATCACACTTATGTTAAGTTGTGGTCTTGAGTAAAATTGAAGTTGCCTTCTAAACCAAAAGAAAAAGAAGCTCTTTGATACTCATCAATGAGTGTTCTACTATAATTCACAGGACACCACACAAGCAATTCTTCATCTCTCTTGATGTTGAATGAAGAGATCTTTGCCCGATATCAATAAGTTTTATATCAAAATACTTTTTGATATCACGGTATCAACAATTTGTTTTTATTTGCTTCTATCTCAATCTTTCACACACGAAAGCACTGAAGTCCTTGAGTTTTTGGGTATTACCAACTCGAAACTTAGATTTTTCAAAGTCTGGCATATGATTTAGCTTCTCAATCCCAAAAGTGAATGAGCCTAGACTCCATGTCGGCGAATGTATGTTAGCTTGGTGTCGAAACACATGGTGTACTAGTTTGGGGAATGAAACAAGTGACGCTTCTTATCCAATTAGGAGCAACGAAATATCCGATGGAAGTGACGGTTCATGATTTTCAAGGGAATCAAGGAAAACGTGATGATCATTTTTATCACATGGCGATTTTTACGGTGCCGGCTAAGTAACCAACACAATACGCGGGATTTTCTTACTGGATACCGGTTCAAATTAAAAAACAACATGGTTTATAACAGGTAGATGTTGATTTCCTTATCAAACTTTATGCTCTCTGATCAAACCTCAAGAATCCTAACTATTCATGATTATCCGAAAACAACAAATGAAGAATAAATCTTGCAATGATTATCCGAAAACAATAAATGAAGAACAAATCTTGCATCATACATTGAAGATTCAACACACTAATCTTCATCTTGTTCCTATACTTGATCAATACCTAGAGGAATTAAGGATGCTTGTTCAAACATTGAGCAACCATGTTGTATCAAATGATCTTTCTACATCGTTTGCAATCTTGATGGAATGGCTTCGTCTTGCTGCTTCAACCATAGTGTTTAACGTAAATACCAAGTTGGTTATGCTCCAACTCTCAAATTCAAAAACAAAGAAGCTCACTCGGAAGCAGTTTGCACAAATTCAAAAATTACCCACTTCAGGTACTTTCTATGAAGTTTCGAATCATCAAGTGATTCATATGTTCAACGAAATAGGACATCAACCTACCCTTACTGCAATAAGCCAGTTTAAGAAGTCAAGTATTCGATGTGTATGGAGTTTCTTTTTTGGAATCATTCTACAGTTCTTGACAGGAAGAAGTTGGGGGCTTGACAAGGTTAAGTTCGAAGTATACTCAGTGATCGAAGGATTGTACTATGGCTTGAATGTTAATTATGCTTCACACCTATGGGAAGAGTTTGGAACTTTGATCTCTCACACAAAGCTTGCGACTAGTGTTTCGAGTGCTCATTTTTGGGTATTAATTCTATGGGAGATATACAATCAATAGAACATTTTTGTTCCATATGGTGTCGATACTGCAGAATACCCAACGATGACTGCTCCTTGGGTTTTTATCGATGATGTTACTATTTTTCCCAATGTTGTTCGCATTCCGGATTCGATGCTTAAGCCTGTGGATCCTAAACATCAGCTCTTGGTAAAATATTTGGCTTCTATTGATGCTTTTAATTAAACCAAGATTCTTCCACCCAAGGCTTCTCAAAAAGGGGTAGAAGGAACTTCGAAAGGATATAAGGTTCCAAAGAAGAAGAAACAAGTCGAACAGCCACAAGTGGCAGAGGAGGAGATTGTGAAATAACTATCCTAACAAAATCTGGGGTTCTTAAACATACTAAGAAACCTTCTCATTCTCCAATCAAGGCTTCTACTCATGAGCTAGTAGTCGAAAGCGTTAATCCCACTAAATTCAAAACCTCGAATCCTATTACTTCTAACAGTGGTTAAAAGAGGGTTAAAAAGATGCAATTTACCAGGAAGAGACTTCTTTTTCAAGAAGTTTCAGTTCTAGGACTTCAGCATCGAAGAAGCGTATAGCTTTGGATGCTGCACAACAGATAAAGAAGTAAAAGCAAGTTCGAGTTCAAGTTCCACTTGAGAACGTGATAGTTGAGACATCAAATGACAGTGAAAGCGATGGACCAGACATTCAAATTGAAGATTCTTTCATTGGTTCACCGCGAAAGGATACCTTTATCAAGTCGTATTTTGAGGAGACAAGTCTTCCCAATGTCACTGTAAATGTATCTAATACGTATACAAACATCAATTTGAGTGTCTAACAACAAACCAACATCCCTAAGAAGGCAATAGTCAAACCATCTGGTGTTTCGAATACTAATTCTAGTAAGGAGGAGGTCGGAACTCTAGACATCACTGTTGACTTATCTAATAAGGGGATAAATGTCAACGTGGATGAATGGATGCTCAATAATGACTATGCTATCACATCGACCATTGAAACTTCAACAACTTTACCACTATCCTCATCACCCATTCCTACTTTAGTTGCAATTTCAACTAATTCACAAAAGTTCTTTGGTGTCATTCAAGAAGCTATCACCACACTCTGCCCATCTCAATCCACTAAAAAGTCACAATAAGAAAACAAATTTGATGATGACAATGCCATGGATTCATTTGCAGAAATTCAATTCAACCCAAAAGAAGAAGATATTCCTAATGAATTGATTGTCTCGGGTAAACAATTCAAGATACTTAACTCAAAAATCAATTTCTCTTCCTCAAATAACAACAGATACCAGAGGTAAGAATAGCCCTATCAAAAATACATGTTACCCGAATTACCCGCCCGATTTTTTTGGGTATCGGGTATCGGGTAACCTTTTTCGGGTATTTGGGTAACCCAGTTTTTTTTGGGGTCGGGTAAAGGGTAAATATTTAGGGTTTCGGCTATACCCGATTACCCGAAAATTTATTGAACAAATAATGGCCAGTATCTTTTATTATTATCACACGTTATTCATCCAAAGTCCAAATCCCTTTTGGCCATTCCCGATGGCCCCGACTCCCTACCTCCGTCGTTCTATTTTCTCCTAAAAAACCCTCGGTCAATTTCATTATGTGTTCACCGATCGATTCTCGTCGTCGGTCATCGAGATCAACTCTGCTACTCCAGCCGGTTGTCCCCGTCGCCGCCTCAATCCTCACTGGTCACAGTCTCGGTCGATTTCATTATGTGTTCACCGATCAAGTCTCGTCGCCGGTCATCTAGATCAACTCCTCTACTCCATCCGGTCATCCCCGTCGCCGCCTCAGTCCTCACCGATCACAGCCTTGCAGCTCGCGGTATCCTCTTCAGTCTGTAATCGAGATCAAATCAGCTTGAATGTAAGTGATAACCACCGATTTCTGGAATCATTATTTGATTTGTTTTTGTTTACCTGAAATCTGGCTCGTGCTTTTGTTTTGTTTTTGTTTCTATCTGAATTCTGGTACGTAACTTCCTGATTATAATGTAATTAGTAACATTATCAAGGGAAAAAAATTCTGATATTTAACCCCATTATCAAATTAGTTTTGATGATGTTGAAAATATTGGTATATATAAACCTTGTTCCATGCATATGGATTAAGATGAAGCTTTGGCAAGCCTCCAGTTTTATATTTCTCAAAATTAAAAGGACCTACAACACAACATATATGTTAGATTGATTAAGCAAGACAAGAACCACTCGTTTGTTAATACCTAATACACCCATGGTTATGACTTATGACTACTCGAGGGAATTAGTAGTATCAAGAGTACATATCATGCATTGCATTTACAATTAGATACACAATTTAAGAATGGCAATCTGTGGTCCCAAAATATAAAAAAGACTATTAAAATATTCTGATTACAAAATGACATGGTATCAACATATTCTTTATCTTTACAATGTTGTTACCTGAATTATGATTCTGAAACAAGTGGATTGTCAATTCAAGATTTCATGGAAATTTACCCTTCCAAAAACTGCTATTTGTACTAAATAATAACAAGAAAATTTATGTGAGAATAAATCAAGACAGACACGTGATTCTAATGAAACAGTGAAGAAAAGTGAAGTATATACCATGTTCATAAACAAACCCATCAAAACTGGAGCAACCAGGACCACCATTGAGCCAAAGAACTACTGGATCCTTAGAAGGATCTCTTTCTGAAAGCACATAATAATAATACAACTTTTTGCCACGAATTACATCTAATGTCACATACCTGTAAACCCATCAAACATTATGTTAGAAATTTATATTCAAAATTCATAAAGAGTTTGAATTTATATTTTTAAACTAGATTTTTTTGAAAATTATGCTTAAAACACATTATTTAAAAATAAGATAATATGTTTGTTGCTCACATTTCTATTATATTGTTTATTGCTATTTGCTAATATGTTTTTTTTCTTGTTTTAGATGTCAACAACGAATGACTATATTGAAGTAGAAGATGAGACGATTGAAGTTGACAACCTAACCAATGATCAAGTTCCACAAGAAAAAGAGAAAAAAACTAAAGAATTCAACCCAAGATCGAAAGTTTGGAAAGAATTTGAAAGGTATAAGGGCGAAAATGGTGTTATAAAATGCAAATGTATGCATTGTGGTGGCGGGAATTACAAGTGTGAATCGGGTGTTTATGGGACCAAAAATCTAGGATATCATTTAACTAAATGTAAATCTTACTTTGATAAAGTTAATGGTGGACAAAAACAACTAGTTTTCCAACATGGTGAAGAAAACAAATTGTCAGCTTGAAAATTTGATCAAAATGAGAGTCGGAAAGCTCTAGCTCACATGTTGGTAGTTGATGAACTTCCTTTTAGCTTTGTAGAAGGTGCGGGCTTTAGGTATTACAATAGTGTTAACCAACCATTGTTTAAAGTTCCATGTAGAAGTACAAGCACAACGGATGTCTACCAATTGTTTGTAGACGAAAAAAGAAAAAATTCGTAACTCTATTAAAAAAAATGTTGGTAGAATATGTTTGACCACCGATACGTGGACTTCTAAACAACAATCATGTTATATGTGTCTCACCGCCCACTTTATTGATAACGAATGGAAATTGAAAAAAAAAACTGTTGTGTTTTTCATCTCAAGAGAGTCACCGTGGGTTTGATATTGGAAAAACGGTTGAGAAATGTTTAATGGAGTGGGAAATAGAAAACGTTTTCACAATTTCCGTTGCCAAATGCAAGTGCGAATGATGTGGCAATTGACTTCTTGAAAAAAAGTTTTCAAAACTCCAACAAGTGTCTTCTAAATGGGAAATGGATGCACATTCGATGTGTTGGCCACATTTTAAATTTAGTGGTGCAAGATGGCATAAAAAAAGTTGATAAGGCGGTTGAGATAGTTCGATGGGCGGTTAAATGGATTAGGCAATCGCCTTCTAGAATTCATAAGTTTACCGAGTTTGCTAAGGTTGCTAATCCCGGTATAACAAAACATTTGAAGAGAGATGTGCCAACAAGATGGAACTCCACTTACCATATGTTGGAAATTGCCCAAGCTTACGAAAAAACTTTCGATAGATATGATCTTGAGGAATTTGATTTTCGGTACGAAATTGAAAAGGCGGGTTTGTCTATACCTTCATCAAGCGATTGGGAAAGGGTTAGGAATGTATGTCATTTTTTAAAACCTTTTAATGATGTTACTTTGAGGATTTCGGGGACACTTTATGTAACATCAAACACATGCATTGAAGATATATATTCCATTCGTACGCTCTTGGATGATGCTATTTCCGATTCTAGTGTTTGTGATATTGCATTGGCCATGAAATTGAAGTTTCATAAGTATTTTGGCGACATAGAAAAAATGAATTTATTGCTCTACTTTGCTTTGATTCTTGATTCGAGGAACAAAGTAAAGTATTTGGTTATACTACTTGAGGATCGTTATGGAGAAATTGGGGTGGAGGCCAAAAAGAAATACATCATGGATTTTATGTATGAATTATATAATGATTATATAAGAATTCATTCTCCAAGTTCTACTTCAAGTACTGCCGAGTCTACCACTTCATCATCGAAACTAGGGAAACGCCAAAACCCGGATTTTATGGCACCTAATCCCCCATTGAGAAATAAACTAAGAGAAAAGATGAAGACGAACATAGTTGAATCAATTGGGGAGTTAAAAAAGTATTTGCAAGAAAGTGATGAAAACGACTCAGAAATGTTTAGTATTCTAGATTGGTGGAAAGTAAATAGTCCCAGATTCCCGATTCTATCATTGATGGCAAGAGATGTGTTTGCCATTCCCGTCTCAACCGTAGCTTCGGAATCCGTTTTTAACACTAGTAGGAGGGTGTTGGATCCGTGTAGGAGTTCTTTGACTCCTAAGATTGTTGAAAGTTTAATTTGTACACAAGATTGGATTCGGGGTAGCATAAGTGACACAATTGATTATGAAAAAGATTGGGAAGAAAATTAACAAATTGGCAAAGGTAATTGTTTATCGTTCATTATTTTAATTATTGTAAATTTAATATATTTTCCTTTTAATAATAACGTTATTTGACTTTTTTATATAGAATTGAGCAAGATGAAGTAGTGAATGTGCAAGAAGAACGAGTAGGTGCAAGAAGACGAGTATATTTATGAATGTCTTTTGAAACTTGAATGTTATTATTTTCGTAATATGTAATGGATTTCTATGTTTTCTAGATTTACAACCTGAGTTTTTTTGGTAAATGAAAAATATATGCATATACATTGATATCAAGTAATTTAAATGATTGACTTTGATTGTTATTATTTCTTTTAAGTATTTGTTTTTTAACATCTTATTAGATTTGATTAAATCGTTAAACGAATACTTGATATCTCAAATATTATTGAGTAAAAAATCTCAATGTTTAAAATTTGAGCACAATATACTTATTTCATTAAATTTATTTTTAGGTCCCATTAGTTATTATTAAAAAAAAAAAAAAAAAGGGTAATACCCGAATCACCCTTACCCGACCCAATACCCGAATTACCCGAATTTAGTTTGGGTAGGGTAACGGGTAAACTTTTTAACATGAATTACCCGAATTACCCGAAACCCGAAAAATTTACCCGATTGACACCGCTAGGTAAGAACTGTGCGAATGGAGTCGAAATGGAATACTTGATGAAAGCTCAAGAATCTCATTTGTGAAACTTGATTGTGGTAATTGAGCAAAAACAAGCCTAAAGACTAGCTTTTCATCAAAAATCTTTGATTATGAAAATCAAAAGCTTCGTGATGTTGCCAAGGAACGTTATGAACTCTTCGTCGAACAGGTGAATAAAACGAAGGAGTCTCATGATCTCAAAGTTGATGGACTCAAATCCTTGTTGTCGAAAGATGTAAATAAGATGGAGGAAAACTATAATTTGTTTCATGGCAAATTGGATGTCATTGCTGGTGTCATAACTCGATTGGTTGATTTCAACACCGAGTACACGAAACAGTTTGATGCTAAGCTAGAGAAGGATGCACATATGTTTGAAAAGATGGAGGAATTCATGTATGGAATTAAGGAATCTTAGTCAATGGTTGATCTTTTGATTAAATTAACCATCTCTCAAGAATCTCTCTCACAATCGGTTTTGAACAGCGATTCAAACATTAAAACTGAGCCCGGTCCAATACTTAATTTGGTATTTCATTTACCAACCAATGTTCCACGTGTTGTGAAAATATCGTAAGGGGGAGAAAGAGGAGTTGGAGGAGTTATATCTTCAAAATATTCTGATAATAAGAAAGGATTAGTTGTCGGGAAAGAAATTTCGACTCAAATTCTGACCTTAATTCCCATGGAGCCTATAATGGAATCTTCAACGACAACAACCTCTACAAGAGCATATGTGTCAAAAGCTCCATCAAAACTTATTTCAATTAAGGAAGGAGAAGGAGGTTCAAGTAGTGATCTTATCAAAACAACTTCATCAATTGAGCCAAAAGATAGAGGCAAGGTCATTCTTATTAAACAGTCATATCAGGAAAAGAATAAACAGCAAGCAACAAAACTGGAACGACACAGGAAAATCAATAGCATTCTTCATCAAAGGGAAAATGATCCACCTAGTTTGAACAAAGGTGACCCAAACAAGAACTGGTGTTATGAAACGACTGAAATCACAATGTTGGGGAAGAGTGACAAATTTCTTAAAATGCCGAAGAAGAGCTTTGAAACTAAAAATTATGAAGTTAATCAATTTGATTTTCCAACCACTCACAAGCTCTTAACATCTCCACAATTTAAATTGTCTGATGATTTCAAAAACAAAGACGAATACAAAAGTCTGAAAATTCATTTTCATACAATATTGGGGAAAAACAAAGATTATGTATGGTCGTTAGTAAAGATTGTGAAGCTGATGAAAATCGAAAGGGATGTCTTGTTCCACGGTTCGCTTTAGAACTTCTTCGTTATTAGAGCAAATAATGTGGAGTTCAAATTCTCAATTGCTAATTTCCCGTTGATGAATCTGTGTGGCCTTATTTCGTTCACAAAGATTTTGGCCATATCAAGGCTTTTCTGGAAAGCTACTACGAATATCTGGCCATTCCAGATAATTATCTTGCCTTGGCTATAAAGAAGAATGCGAAAGTGCCTCAAACTCTTGCAAAAGCTAAGTTGAACTTTAATGAATCTGAAGACGATGAAATTATCCATCAACCTTTTGGTGTGGTTTTTTAGGGAAAAAAATAAGAAAGGGAATTTAATGATGTTTTTTGTAACACTTGGATAATTGGTATGTTCATTGTTTTCCCTTTTATGTTTTACTTGTTGCACTTACGGTCCTTGGAGTGGTCCACGGGGAATACCACATGGTATGGTTAGCATACTAATATGGAGTTGATCGAGGATGTGAGGCCTCATATGTTGGGCGTACGAGGGTTATGCTTAGCATACTTGGATTTTAAGAAAACCTAATTCTAGGGTGTTGTACCATATATAAAGACATTAAGTCCCTAGGGTTGGCCTCTTTACCATCCCCATCTCTTTTAAACCCTAAAATCAACCTTAAGCCTCCGTTGTTATATTTTTGAGCACTTGAGAAGTATTTGGTGTTGTTTTGCTCACTTCAAAGGGGTTAAAGAGAAGTGAATTTGCATTGCTTGGTGTGAAGTTTATAGATCCAAAATCACCACTCTTCGTGCAAGACTTTAGAGGTATCAAGGTCATAAATTGGATTTTATATGCTTAGTTCTGTTTATGTATTGGGTTTTTATACTTTTGGTCCCCTTTTGGGTTGATTGATGAGTTAAGATGTTTAAAGGGCTTATTCTTTTAGATCTGAGCATGCTATGAGGTTCTTAGGCATAAACATGCAAGCTTTATGGGGTTTATGGTTTCATGCATGTATTCAGACACCTATTAAGTCCTTTTGAGCATCAAGAGCTTCATTTAGCCATGCATGAACGTAAAGTTAGCAACTTCACGCAGTTAACCAGTTTAAGGAAGTCAGATCTACGTTTTAAAGCAATGTCTTAATGAATTAAGGGATAAAAGTGGAAGATAGCTGAATAGGGAAGCACGCTGGGCTTACTAGCTTGTACATGCCACGTACAAGCCCTAAAGCACGTACGCTTAGTGCAAAACTGAGTACGCCCTACGTACTCAGCGGGATTGAACTACGGTGTTTGGGATTCGGTTTGGGCCATCTTTTGGTCTTAGTTTTTTGGTTCCTATTGGGCCATCAGGTTTTGGGCTGATAATTATTTTGAGAGGGCCACACTGAGATTTAGGCGCAATTTGGAAAATTGAGCGATGATTTGGGCCTTCGGTGGCTAATTAGGTTTTGGGCCTTTTGGATTGTAAGTTTGGGCCTTAGTCTTGGACCAAAATAGGTAAGGGTTAAAATGTTATTTTTACCCTAACTATGGACTAATAGTTATGGATTGGAATCCAAGTTATTAAATGGATGTTATTTGGTATTCAGAGCTCGAGGATTTATCGGACTAGCAACTAGAGATCTTTCAGTGTGATTCAGCAGTTCGAGGTGAGTTTCCTCACTGTGTTTTGCAGGTCGGAGGCACCAATGCCCCCCCCCCCCCAATAATTATGCTATGTTAGTATGCTAGTTGTCTGCATGACTCTTGCATGTGTTATGTACTTTTATGCTTATCGAGTGGGGCCCGATGCCGGACGGGGTCCGATGACCATCTTGTATGCTATGTATCTTTGTGATTATTATATGTGTATGTGTTTGTTTGATATATGTTATATGTATGATGGGTGGGGCCCGATCTGTATACCAAGTGGGGACCGATTTCGGGCGGGACCTGGTGATCATTGGGGCCTATTATGTGTTTATTAAGTATAGTATGTGGTATTTTGCTGAACTCACTAAGCTTTGTGATTATGGTTTTTAGTTTATGTTTAAGGTAATTCCAGTTCCAAAGGGAAGGGCTCTAGATGATTGCAGAGTACACACCACCTCATTCCGTATTTTGTGATTACTCTTATTTGATATGATGTTTGCTACACTTCTTTTACCTAGATTGTATTGATAATGTTTTTGAAATACATATTTTATTAAATAAAAAATTAAAATTTTGGGTCTTATTGGGATCTGATAAGATGTATCTTGACTTAAACAAAAGGTACTGGTAGCCGGACTTAAAGACATAAATCGCCACCTACATGAGCAAATGCGTGACCTGCACTAAGGTTAAAGAAGAATACCAAAAACCATCGCATTTACTACAATAACCCGAAATACCATAGTGGAAATGGGAGCAAGTCACCATGGATTACATTTCAAAACTACCTAAGATGCCTAGTGGTTACGACGCGAGTTGGGTTCGATCGTCTAACTAAGTCTGCCCATTTTATACCAATCAAGGAGATGGACAAAATGGAAATTTTAACCAGGACTTATGTCAGGAAGATAGCCTGACAACACGGTGTACTGACATATATCATCTCAGAAAGAGACATCCAATTTATTTCCCGGTTCTTGCAAACAATACAACGGCCATTGGGAACCCAACTCGATATGAGTACAGTTTATCACCCGCAGATAGATGATCAAGGAAAAATGATCATACAAACCATGGATATTCTTAGATCATGTGTGACAGACTTTGGATGTGCTTGGGATACTTACCAACCATTTGTTGAGTTATCCTATAACAATAGTTATCACACGAGTATTAAGGTTACACACTTTGAAGCACTTTATGGCAGAAAGTGCTATTCACAGATATGTTGGACAGAAGTCGGTGATACTCGACTAGAAACAAAACACGCGGGGAACTCTTTGCTAATCAGACCATAAATTATTCACGAAACCACCAAGAAGATCATAACAATTAAGAATGACTCGCGATCATCAAAAGAAATATACCAACTTTCGTTGAAAACCGTTTGAGTTTCAAGTTGGAGATAAAGTGACGCTAAGAGTATTTCCATGGAAAGAAGTTATAAGATTTTGAAAGAGGGGGAAACTCAACCTGAGATACATAGTACCATTTAATACCCTTGCTAAAATAGGCTTGGTATCCTACCAACTCACTTTTCCCCAAGAGCTCAGTATGACACACAATCTTTTCCATGTGTCAAACCTTAAGAAACGTCTCTCTGAAGACATGCTAGTTGTACCTCTCGATGAAATCCATATTGATGCAAATCTCAAATTCGTTGAGGAACCAATCGAGATCATGGATTGTTAATTCAAAAGGCTTAAACAGATCCACATTCCTATAGTCAAGGTACGATGGAACTCTAAGTGAAGGACCAGAGTACACATGGGAATGCAAAGATCAAATGAGAAACAAGTATCCCCGCCTATTTGAAAACACACCGACTACCTGTTAAATTTCGAGACAAAATTTCTTTTAGCGGGGGAGGATGTGATAACCAAAAAATACACCATCGATTATCGTTAGTATTTAACAATAGAACATGAAAATGTAATAAGGAAAACCTTGTAACCATCCCATATATTTTAGTATATTCAACTTTTTCGTCCTTATTTATGCCAACAATTAGGCTAAAAAGGAGTGCGTAAAAAGTCACGTCACTTTGAGAGCATGTTAGCATATTTAGACTCTTTAAGCCACCGTGATTCCAAAAATATAAGTTTCGCAAGAATCCAACTCAGTATGGGTGAGATATGACTTTTGTAAGTAAACACGTATGAATACAACAAGAACAACAACACGATCGACCAAGGGAGGCCCCCACAACAAGAGTTAGACGTGACACGATTCGTCAACATGTTGAAATATTTTTAGCTAGCTCCCAGCCTATAATTGTTAATCTTAAGTGAAAAGGAGAGATATGTATTAATCTATACGATATTAGCACTCCCACCCAAGGCTTTTTGCTACAACCTGAATGCAAGTCGAAGCAGACATAACTTTCTAAACACATTTGTAACGTTCGATGAAGCGTCGTGGTTTTCGGGATCAGCAGTCATAACTTGATTATAAGAAATCATCGTAACTTTTTAAAACTAAAACTAATATCTTAGACTACTACTAGGAACCAACCTAATAAAGTAGTGATAGTACACACAAACTTAAGGAAACGAGTTAAGGATAAACAAGATAACTAAAATACCCTCACAACGTTTAAAAACAATAAAACCTGTGGACTCACCAACATTATGTTAACCGCTCAAAACCACATGTATTCTTAGGAGAATGAACGTGACTGAAGGAGGAGATAACCCCAGTGATGCAACGAGGAGAATATGAGACTTAATTTTGTAGTTTGCTTTTGTGACCTACATGTACCTCAAATAGTTGTGTAATACATCTTATTTAATGAATAAATAACCATGTTGTTTTATATATATCAGTGTATTACTCAATGTATGTCTTTGGCACGAAATCCAACATCCTAACGTCGCACAGCCTGAAATCGAACATCCTAACGTCACACAAACTGTTTAATTATATATATGTTACACTTACAAAAATAGGTGTAGCTTAACTTATAGAGTTTCCTAGAAAAAGTCCATAAAATTCGCAGGAAGACCTCCAACCCGAAAGCTTCTATTTGTCTGGCTCTCTAATGCCCATGGCTTCTGTAACATCCGGATTTCCAAGTATCATATTTTTAATCGTTTAATTTGAGTTATGAGGAGGGACACAACGAGTTGACGCTTAGACTTGCCGAGTAGGATCGCGATTGCTGACTGGATTAATGAATGGACTCGACGAGTCAATGGGTGGACTCGACGAGTCCGCGCTGATTAGGAACCCTAAATTTTCGGGCCTGTGCCCTATTTAAGGGACCTTATAGCCCTTATTTGTGACTACCAGTCCCGAGAGAGAAATCCTTGAGAGCTTGAGCAAGTTGTGAGAGAGATAGATCTATTTTAATCATTTTTGGTGTGGTTTTGCAAAGAAGAAGTTGTTTCTAGCAAGAGGTTGCCAAGGGAGTTGCTGATTCGGGATTTCC